GCTGGTGTACTTCTTACACCCCCGAAACTATCAATTTTGAGGCGAAGTATTTATGAAAACAATGTCGTCGTGAATAGTTATTTTTGATATACTTTATTGAAGAATTTAATTTTTTTATTTTACGTAACGGAATTCAATACATAGTTCCTGTCATTGAAGTTCAAGTTCGAGAACAAGAAATTCAAATTCCAAATTCTCTATAGGAAGAATACTCAATGAATCCAATGACNAAGAACTCACCAGGAATTGACTAGAGAAGATGAACAACAACCACCATAGAATAGCAGCGACAGGAGTCTAGGGTTTTTTGTTTCTCGTTGTTACTTGTTGGAAGTTGATCCAAACTATAGAGTCCAACATTAATTAGACATATATTCCAACATTCTCTTACTTGGCACACTTACCTTTGTGAGTTGTAACTTGNCAACTCACCACTGATTGCTTGGGACCCCGAGCAGTCAATTAGAGAAGACATTTCTCATCAAATGATTACACACGCTACATGTGCCTGATGATCACCTACTGACCACACTGACAGCAATCATGATCTTCTAAGGTATAAATACCTCTCCCAAAAGACAAAGCGGGTATGCAATCTCAAACTCTCAACTACGAAATATCCTTCTCAGTGTTTTCTCCTTCCTCTCTCTCTCATTCAAAGACTGACTAGACCGTCGGAGGGGATACGCCGGAGAACACTCCGGCGCCCTTCTAACTTGTTCTCCTTTGTTCCAGGAAATCACCTTTCACACGTACAGGATCGTTCCTCCTTTCCCAGGATCTCCCTTTGCCGTTTCCGGTTGCCACCGTACCTTGTAGGCTGTTTCAAGCAGCGTGTTTGGTTACTCAACCGGCTCACCCAAAGTTCACCAGGGGAGAGATCTGTTCCCAATATTTTATATATCGTGCAGGATCGAGCCCGCACAGTCACCACTGGGAAGTATCACCCTTGTTTTCTATTTTTTTTTTAATTATGGGTAATATGCCTTAAATGCGTTTTGTCTCACTTTAGCATGAAGTGATAAAAAAAATGCGTTTCCACTTGCATTTGATGCAAACAATACGAATCTATTACGATCCTTAATTCTCTTGTTCAGCTGACTTAAAACATCATTCTCTGTACCAAATGTTGCGTATGAGGCATTGATAAAGCTGGTGTACTTCTTACACCCCCGAAACTATCAATTTTGAGGCGAAGTATTTATGAAAACAATGTCGTCGTGAATAGTTATTTTTGATATACTTTATTGAAGAATTTAATTTTTTTATTTTACGTAACGGAATTCAATACATAGTTCCTGTCATTGAAGTTCAAGTTCGAGAACAAGAAATTCAAATTCCAAATTCTCTATAGGAAGAATACTCAATGAATCCAATGACCCCAACAAGCACGAATCTGTATTACAGTCTTGATCTCAATGTTCAAGAAGAACACTCGAGAACAACTTCACAAATATGCAATATATGGAGGTATATGAAACAAGAGTTTTCTACCTACGTATATGATATCTGAATACTCATATGACTTGATGAAAAATTACAGGCATGAAAATATATATAGGACAGAAACCCTTATCTAATAGAGAAACTGGTAATAACATCATTCCATCANGACTTGATGAAAAATTACAGGCATGAAAATATATATAGGACAGAAACCCTTATCTAATAGAGAAACTGGAAGTAACATCATTCCATCAAACAGTTACAACTGCTTTGAACTGCTCTATGATGATCACTCTATCTAATGATGGGAGTAGTGGATAATTACTTTAACGTCAGTTACTCAGAAGAATTTGACTCAGTAAATAAGATATATATTAAATATATATATTATTTATTTATTAAAAGGTGATATGGCATGTGAGTCATCTTAAGTGTCTAATTAGAGATAGAGTCCAACATTTTTTTTTCTTCAAAGCCACCCAGTGTAGGTGGGGGTTTGGCAGGACCTCTACCTGTATATAAAACTAAAAGGAAAAATGTACAAGGGAGGAGGACATAAAGTCAAGCCTTCAGAAGTGGAAGAAAGTCAAAGCAAAAGGAAGGTGGTGACTTAAATAGAAAAGCAAAGTGGGGAATCCCCACATAACAAAATAACTACAAACCTCAATGCAAATAAAAACTCAACACCGAACGTGAGGAGTCTGTTGAGCGTCCAAGGCGAGGATGTCTGCAATCCTAGAAGGAAGGGTTGACAAATCAGAGAATCACTGATTAAGCAGCTAAGAGCAAGCCCATTTAACCAAGAAGTCTACAGCTTGTTTCGCCTCTCGCAGGACATGGTAGACGCGAGTCGAGATAGAAGCATATAGAAGTCTAATCCGAGAAAGCAGGTAAGCATAAACTCAGCACTCAGTACCCTGAGAAGAAACCCAAGAAACCACTGTAGCTGAATTTGACTCCACTACCAATTCTGAAGCTCCCAAATCTGCGGCCAACTTCAACCCAGTACAAACAGCCTGCAACTCTGCATACAAAATTGGCTGATGACCCAGAAACAAGTCAAAAACCCTAAGTACCCGACCCTGGTGGTTTCGAATAACACCCCCTACCGCAGACAGCCCCGGATTTCCTTTAGGACAGCCATCAACACTGATCTTTAGGCAACCCGCTACATGACAACTCCTTTGGGATATCGTTGGCGTGTAAATAAAGCTGATTTTTAAAGAACTCACCAGGAATTGACTAGAGAAGATGAACAACAACCACCATAGAATAGCAGTGGCAGGAATCTAGGGTTTTTTGTTTCTCGTTGTTACTTGTTGGAAGTTGATCCAAACTATAGAGTCCAACATTAATTAGACATAAATTCCAACATTCTCTTACGTGGCACACTTACCTTTGTGAGTTGTAACTTATCGTTTAAAGTTATGTCGTTTAAAGTTATAGGAAAAATTTTAGCCACACCTCTTCTAGTTTATCATATCTTAAGGACATCCATTCTATTTTCTAAATCTTTACTAACACCTCCTGTAACCCTGTTAGATTAAAGTGTTAACTAGGATATAATTTTACTAAATTGTCCACAATATATTTTAGGAAAAATTTCATCCACACTCCCCCTAGATAGATATGTCTTCAATGAAACTCCATCTGTTTTCTAAAATTTTTTACATATAAAATTCGGAGAGATTAAAATTCGATTTGAACTAATTAAAATTCATTTTTTACGTATTAAAATTTGAGGAGATTAAAATTATATTTTTTACATATTAAACTTTGAACTGATTAATATATTATTTGAGTCGAATCAAATTTTAATCTGTCATAATTTTGATGCATAAAAATATAAATTTTAATACTTAAAAATTGAATTTTAATCAATTTAAATCAAATTTTAATTGGCACAAACTTTAATAAGTAAAAAATATAAATTTTAATAGGCTTGAAGCGAATTTTAATCAACGCCTTCAGTTCAGGTAGAACTCAAATCGGATCAAATTTTAATGTGTAAAAATAAATTAATAGGCTCGAATTTTAATACGTACAAAAAATAAAATTTAATCAGTTCGAATCAAATTTTAATCGGCTCAAATTTAAATATGTAAAAAATAAATTTTAATCAGCTTAAATTTTAATATGTAGAAAAATAAATTTTAAACGACTCGAATTTTATGTAGAAAGCTTGTTTGGAGTTTCTGTAAAGGCAATTTTGATATTTTAGATGAATTTTATTTTGTTAGAAATGTTATTTTAACTGCATGGAGTGTCGGTGATATTTAAATATAAACTAGATAGGGCATGAGTAATATTTCGAGTAATAGAATGGTTGTTCTTGAAAATATGATAAATTAGAAAAAGTGTGAATCATGTTATTTTCAAATTATAATTTACACCTCAAAACATTTTAACATTAACTTTATCTTTTAAAATTATAATTTTCAAAACAATACCCATAGCGATACCACAATCTGCCCCTTTTCTTTTTCTTAAATAAACTGATGAAGTACGCTTTACAGACAGACCCTTCTCCTCTCTGAGTCTCTTTCTCTCTTCTGAAGGGAAAAAACCCTAAAAAAAGTCAGTTACCCACAAGTAAGCTCTCTCTCTGCTTNAGACCCTTCTCCTCTCTGAGTCTCTTTCTCTCTTCTGAAGGGAAAAAACCCTAAAAAGAGCCAGTTACCCACAAGTAAGCTCTCTCTCTGCTTCGATACCTCACCGTACTCTTCACAAGCTGGGTCTAACGAACCTACAAAAATGTAAACCCCTAAGGCTGTCGACGCCCCTATCTGCCCTAATCCCCTTTTCTACTCCTTTCATCCTCTTCATCACTGCACACCATATCATCCTCTCTTTACCATAGCCAATGCNCCAGTTACCCACAAGTAAGCTCTCTCTCTGCTCCGATACCTCACCGTACTCTTCACAAGCTGGGTCTAACGAACCTACAAAAATGTAAACCCCTAAGGCTGTCGACGCCCCTAGCTGCCCTAATCCCCTTTTCTACTCCTTTCATCCTCTTCATCACTGCACACCATATCATCCTCTCTTTACCATAGCCAATGTCACTTTCTCTGTTTTCTCTGCCTCTCTTTTCCCCAAAAGTCATTCTCTCCTATTTGCCCTAACCCAAATTACACCATTATTTCCCATCTTTGACCCTTTTCTTAGCATTTATTGCATCCCCATCCTATAATCTATGGAAACCAACAGGACTTTAAGGCCTTTACCAATCAATTGTGGGTCAAAGGTCGGTGAATCACTAGTGAATAGCATTGATGGCAGGCCTGATGCATGCCTTGGTGGGAGTACTTCGGCAGAGGGTATAAATTCAGCTATGATTGTTGAGGATGTATCTACTAAAACACAAGCACGAGTTGTTAAGGTCCTCGCTGATTTGACTAGGTTCGATAGAGAAGAAGTTACTGAGTCAGTGACCGAGCAAAGCAGGTTGCAGGAACTGATTATTGAGAATGACCTTCTCAAGCATTTGTTTGAAGCCAAAATGGAATACCCAAGTTGAAATAAGTCTCAAATTAGGTTTAGTGGCAGTAGTGATGGCAAAGGTAGTTCCAGTGCCGCTGGAAATGGAGGCAATGGACAAGCCAGGCCCAGATGGAGAGAGAAATTAGTTGCAAGGGATGTGCCGAGGGTGAATTCACAAGGAGCAGGTATGCAGTCTTTAACCTCTTCTGATCATTTGGGCAATCCCAAGCCTAATACTGGGGGTGGGTCAAATGGTCTGAACAAGAATAGATCTTGGGTTAATATGGTTCAAAATGATCCGAGATCCCTAGTAGAACTGTAGTACATGGCCCGTAGTAAACAAATGGGAAAAGTTATGGTTAGACCTCCCAAAGAGGTAGCCCAGGAAGGATATTCCAAATGGGAAGCTTGTATTGGCAAGAAATTGCCTTTCCAAGTTGTGAAAGCATCAGCTATGAGGATGTGGGGAAACAAAGGGTTATTTGATGTTATTGCCAATGAGAATGGATTCTTCTTCTTTAAGTTCTCAAGTACAGGTAATAGAAACGAGGTCTTGGAAGGGGGTCCTTGGCATATTGGTGGCCAGCCTATTATATTAAGGAAGTGGCAGCAAAGACTCAAGCTTACAAAGGAGGCTGTGAGGAAGATCCCAATTTGGGTAAAATTTTATAATATACCCACTGATATTGGACTGCCACTGGGTTTAGTTACATAGCTAGTGCAGTTGGGAAACCTTTGTATATGGATAAGTTGACAGAGGAGGGTAGTAGAGCTGCTTTTGCTAGGATTTGTGTAGAGGTTGATGCAAGTGAGCCTTTACTAGATGCCTTTGATCAAGTGATGGAAGGTGACAGTGAAGATGATAGTGAGAAAATTGAAATTAAGGTAGTTTACCAGTGGAAACCAATTCGATGTGATCAATGCAAAGTCTTTGGGCATAGCTGCCATATAATAGCTACTCCCATAAGAAGCAACAAAGTATTGCGAAGGAAAACGCTTATGCTAATTCTAAAGCGTTTGACCAAGTTGAGGTTAGGGACTGTGTTCAGGGTGAACTAGTCAGAAATGAGGATGCTGGATACAAAGGGGTACAAAGTCCGGCACAAAATCATCATCTTAGTTTAGATGGACAAAGTGAACAGTGGCAAATAGTGAAGAGCAAAGGGAAGGAGAAAGTGATAGAAGAGCAACCTTTAAGACCGGAGGTAAGCTTGTCATCTGAAATAGAGTGCTCAGTGAAGAGAGCTGTAGTACCTTCCAACAAGTTCCAGGCTCTGGATTTAGTACCAGCTACAGAGATGGAGGAGACAGAAGAGAGCGCTAGTGATTTTGAGTCTCCTGAACCGGGATCCATGATGGACAAAATCAAGGCCATTGACGAGGTGGAAAAGTTACTTTCTACATCAACTAGAAAGAAACAGAGGAAAACCAGAGGAAAGAGTAAACAATCTTTGAACTCAAGATTGGTGGCTCCCTGCAATGGGTTGAGATCGTCACTGTCACATAAAATTTCTAATGACTAATTTCTATTGCTGGAATGTGAGGGGGTTGAATGGTCCTGTGAAGCAAGCGGAAGTATGGTAACAAGTGACCCAATATGGTGTTGGTTTGTGCTGCCTTGTCTAAACCAAGGTTAGAAAGATTAATTGTGATGTTATTTTTAGACGAATGTTGCCGAATTGGAGACTCATTGATAATTATGATCACTCAACTAGAGGGAGAGTATGGGTATGTTGGGATCCCATTTTTTTTTATGTAAGATTGGACGGGCTTACTAACCAGGTTGTGCATTGCAATATTGTTAACCTGACTGACCAGAAGATTTTTTCTGCATCTTTTGTTTATGCCCAGAATGAGGAGGGACTTAGAAAGCAATTATGGTATAATCTTGAACAAAGGGCCGCGGCTGTACAGGAACAAGCATGGATTGTTTTGGGAGACTTTAATGTGCTCAAATCCAACTCTGAGAAGGTAAGAGAGGTTAGTGTGAGAGACAAAGGGAGTGAGGATTTTTGTGAATGCTTATTCAGGACTGATCTTGAAGACTTAAAATATTTGAGAAACCAATACACATGGTAATAGGAGATTTGATGGTGGTTTAATTGCTAAGAAGCTGGATAGAGTGTTGATTAATGAGGTTTGGCGAAGAGCCTATCCAAATTCAAAAGCTGATTTTCTTACCCCAGGAATTTCCGACCATTCATTAGCATTGGTCAGAATGGGGTTAGAACTCCCGAAGGGTAGGAAGTCATTCAAATACTTTAATTTTTGGGCTAATAATCAGGATTTCTTGCCAACTGTCACTAGAGTTTGGGCCACTCAAATAAGAGGATCTCCTATGTTCAGAATCTATCAAAACCTGAAGCTTCTCAAGAAAGAATTAAAGGATTTGAATAAGAGGAATTACAGTGATATATCATCCAAAGTTATAGTTGCAAGGCAGGCCCTCCATGATATTCAAACAAAAGCTGATAAAAGTCCTTTGAACATGCACCTATGAGAGGAAGAAAGAAAGCAGTTGAGAAAGTATGTTGAACTCAGGGAAGCAGAGGAAAGTTTTTTTAGGCAGAAATCTAGAGTCCAGTGGCTAAACTTGGGGAATCAAAACACGAGTTTCTTCTTCAAGCATATTAATAAGCAAAGAATACAGAGGAGGATCACTACCATTCAGAAAGAAGATGGGACCAAGGTCACTGAGTATCGTGAAATTTAGGAGGAGGTTGTTAGCTATTACCACCAGCTGCTTGGTGGGTCTCTTCCTAGTTCTACAATACCTATGCAGTGGGTTAATCACTACATCAGAAGGAGAATCTCTTTAGATTTTACAGCTCATTTGTCCCTTGATGTCACCAGAGATGAAATCAAGCGTGCATTATTCTCAATGAAGGATGGGAAGGCCCCAGGTCCAGATGGCTATTCTACTGGATTCTTCAAGAAAACATGGCATATTGTGGGTGATGATGTGACTGATGCCATCATGTCGTTTTTTGTTTCTGGGAAGTTGTTGAGGGAAGTTAATTCTACAACTATTGCTTTGATTTCCAAGGTACTTAATCCATCTATGCTAAATGATTACCGGCCAATTTCATGTTGCAACATCATTTACAAATGTATTTCAAAAATTTTGGCCATCAGAATCAAAAGAGTGCTGCCTGAGCTAATTGACAAATCTCAAACTGCATTCATACAAGGTAGAAAAATGTTTGATAACATGCTACTTTCCCAAGAACTCTTAAGGAACTATCATTTGGATAGAGGGAGTCCTAGACGTATATTGAAAATTGACCTTATGAAGGCTTATTATAATATAAGGTGGGAGTTTATTCTAGAAGTGATGCAAGCCATGGGTTTTCCCCAACAGTTGATTAGATGGGTTTCAGACGTGGATTACTTCTCTTATGTACTCAGTGAGTCTTAACGGTGAGTTGAAAGGCTATTTTGAAGGAAAAAAAGGTTTAAGACAGGGAGATCCCTTGTCTCCTTATCTTTTTGTGCTTGCAACGGAGGTTTTTAATGGCATTATGTAGGAGGCAGCTAAGCTGGGTAAATTCAAGTATCATTGGAGATGTGGCAAGGAGCATATTTCTCACCTTTGCTTTGCTGACGATGTTATGATCTTCAGTAAAGGAAATCTTGATTCAATTAGGACTATCAAGGATGCCCTCCAGATTTTTGAAGAACTTTCTGGGCTTAAAGCTAACCCAAGCAAGTGTCATTTTTACTGCTCTGGCATTAATAATGTGGATAAAGTGGAGATCATGCAGTTAATGGGGTTTCCGAAAGGTGAATTGCCTATGAGATATCTGAGTATTCCTCTCATTATCACTAAATTGAGGGCTGGGGATTGTCAACTGTTGGTTGAGAAGATTACTACCATTGTAAGTTCCTGGTGCAACAAATCACTTTCATATGCTGACAGAGTACAACTGATCAGCTCAGTTCTCTTTTCAATTCAAGGTTTTTGGTCTTCTTTATTTATATTGCCAAAAAAAGTAGTCAAAGCGGCGGAGCAAACTATGAGAAGATTCTTATGGTCTGGTATGGATCTTAAAATGTCTGGAGCAAAGGTGGCTTGGGACAAAGTGTGTCTCCCAAAGGATGAAGGGGGACTTGGGTTTAAAAGCATGGAACAATGGAACAAAACTGTTGTTATGAAACATCTATGGAATGTTATAAGCAAAAGTGACAACTCAATATGGGTGGATTGGATTTATTTGTATCTTCTAAAAGACAGGAGCTTCTGGAGTGTGAAAATTCCTCAAAAGTCATCTTGGGCATGGAGAAAGATTCTAAATTTGAGAAAGGAAAGTTTCACAAAGGTGAATTACAAGATTGGGAATGGTGACTCAACTTTTCTCTGGTTTGATCCATGGCATCCAATAGGTTCTATCTACCAACATATGGGAGAGTCCATTATCAGGGAATCAGGGCTTGGGAGAGACGCTAAAGTTAGTTCTATAATTAATAATGGTGATTGGGACTGGCCGACGGCAAATGGGAACATGATGGAGCTACTAAGAGGTATTTCTCCTAATATGAAACCTGTTCTGAGTCAGAGGGACTGTGTCTTGTGGCTGCCTTCTAGAACCAAGATTTTTAGCTCTAAATCTGCTTGGGAGGCAAGTAGAGAGAACGGCCATATGCAAGATTGGGCTGATATTGTATGGTTTTCTGGTGTTGTGCCTAGATACATTTTTATTTTATGGCTGACTATTCAAAACAGGCTTTCCACCCAAGACAAGCTTATATCATATGGTGTTATCCATTTAACTCACTGTGTGTTTTGTAGAGAAGTAATGCAAACTCATAACCACCTCTTTTTTGAATGCCATTTCACTGAGAGAATATGGACTTCATTGAAAGACAAAGTGAATGTCCAATGGCCAAGACTTGATTGGCTTGATTTGGTTAACTGGTATGCTACAAATATGAAGGGAAAGGCTTTTCCAAAGCTAACTTGCAAATTGATGCTCGCCACCTCAATTTATATGATTTGGAGGGAGAGGAATCACAGGGTTTTTAAAAACTCCTATAGAGATGTGGTCTCCATTTATAAGGAGATAGTGGAAAATGTTAGACTCAAGCTTCATGTCTGCCGTGGAATCAAAAGAACAATCCTAATACATGGTTGCAAAGACAATGGGGCTTGCCTGACAATATCTTTGTTCTTTGCTCACCGTATGTGGCTGTTACTCGTTGGTGTTGGCCTTTCCAGTGGAATGCTTGTGACCCGTTTGTTTATGAGGTATGTGTGGAGGGTGTGGTGCTCTGGTTACGTCAATGGTGCAATGGTTCATCCTCTATTTTTGCTGCTTGTTTCGTGTTGTCACATGCTACGGGTTTCGTGCTGTGTGGGTGCTGCTTGTTTGTTGCTGGTGGTTGTTCTGCTTGCTGGGGATGTCTTGTGTTTTGTATCACTATGGGGGCAAGCTTACAGGGCCAGTGTGTTGCTGGTTTTTGTCTTGCCCTGCTGCTGCTTGGGCTTGCTGGAGCCTGGTCTTCCTGAGTGACTTCTTGTTTTGTTTTGGATGCATCATGCTGTTGTCTTTCTTGCTGATGCTTGAATTGGAGGTTATGTTTGCTGCTGATGGTTCGCTAGTTTTGCTGGCTGCTCCCTCCTTCTTTCTTTTCTGGATGCTCCATCAGATAAGCTTCTGTTTTGTACATTTTTTGTTCAGTCCTTTTGGATTTGTATTCCTCGTTTTTTATTTTGCTGATTGGGATGGTTGATCTTCTTCTCCACTCATTAATAAATTCTATCTTCGTATCAGAGCGCGCAATCCTTAGCGGCTATATTTTTCATTCAAATCCGCTGCACCCATAATTGGCAGTCCTTATTGCAGTCCATTCTCTTGTTCTTCTTGTCTCCGACTATTTGGATCTGACTCGATTTATCTGTACAAATAAGGTTGTTGTTCTGCTTAAAGTGTTGACCGAGGTAGAATTTTCTTCAGGCCATTTAGCCCGAGACACAATACGGTGGTTCAAATCCCTCCTGCGTTGCTGTCTACTGAAGTGCATACAATATAGGCCTTTCAAGGCCATTGTCATTGAGGTTGTCAATCGTGTTATTTTTGTTCTATGTTATTTTTGTGTCGGATTACTTTTGGTACATTTCGTGTCAATATTCGTGTAGTAAAAAATTATTTAATTTCATAACAGTTCATATAATACTATTTAAAAAATTAAAAAAAATTTATTTTTTGTCTACAATACTTGTTAAATATTTTTTTTTCTATCTACAACACCTGATAATCGTATTATTCATGTCGAACCTTAATTTGGCCCATTTATTATTCGTGTCCAACGTTAATTTGACTTATTTATTATTTGTGTCAATTAATTGTATTATTTTTTAGTTTTGTATCGAGCCCATGTTAATGGATAAAATTGACACTCCTAATTGTCGTCAATCCTCGTTACCAGAAGGATTACAGAAAAGCACTTCATGAAGACTAAAGACTTTTGAGAAGACGGAGACTTCAAAGTAGTGCAAATGATTTTTCATTAGGGAAAAAAAATAGAGTAAAAAAATAAAGAAAAAAAATCCCTCAATAAAAAAAAAAGGCAAAATAAAAAATTTACATGTAGTTATTCCATGTTCATTCACCCCGATCTATTATTCACACCAAAGCTATATCATCTGATTGACAACCAACCATCCCATTTTTCAATTTAAGTTGGATATTTCAACAGATTTTAGTGTACCAATTTAAGGGGGAGTATTAGAGATATGATAAGATTAGAAAGAATTCATCAATATTCAAGTAAATATATGATAGGATTTAAAGAGATCCATCGATATCTAGGTTTGTTTGGATAAGTAGAGATGATGTTAGACATGTGTAATTTATCTTTATCTAATGTGTAATTCTCACCATATAAATATGGTTGAACCATATGTAATTAATTACTTTCAATAATACATCAATGTAACTCATAGGTGTTGTCCGTGGATGTAAGCAGTTTGTTGAACCACATAATCGTTTGTGTTTTGTTTTTTTTTAAGTGATTTTACGTCCGATAACACGTTTATTAAGATTCATTCTCCCGTTAAATCTGTATCAAGATATCATTATTATGTTTTGTTTATTGATGATGCTACTCGTTATATGTGGTTCTTATTGGATATAATGGTCTTTAAATAAATATTTTGAGCAACCTAAGGCTTAAATTAAAGTGGGACTCGAAATTAGTGGGACCAAGTCTAAATATGTTATCTTCCACGAGGAGATGAGTGTGGTATATTTATTTGTTTGAAACCATTAAATATTAAATAAGAAATTGTTAAAGTATTTTCAAAATAAAAACTTTTTTGGGAGGTTATTTTTTAAAAACTCTTTGTAACTTTTGAGAGAACTTGAAAAGGTGTGAATAAAGGATAACATAAAATATTACTAGTTCAAAATTGGTAACTTTTGATTAAAGACGTCAATCCAAATAGTTACATCCTTTCATAAAGTCACCATTAACATTTTTTATTTAAAAGACACAATTACAAATAATTACAACTTTTCATAAAAATCACATTTGATATCTTTTGGTTAAAAAATATAATTTCAAATGGTTGTATCTTTTCATAAAGTCACAATTGATACCCTTTGAACCAAAATGAACCATTACATATGGTTGCACACTTTATGAAAAGTCACTAGTAAGTCTATAAATAGGTGATGTCTTGCACTCTTAAATAATACCATTGAACAATTCTTACTTCTTTGCATTATCTCAATTCCAAATTCTGTATTTAGTATTTCTGTCTCTCTCTCTCTCTATGTGGATATTGTTGTATTATTCTTTCTTGTTCGGTTCAAGTATAAACACACAATTGTGTTCATTTGAATCTTTAAGATTGAAGTGCTGCATTTTCATGAATAAATTTATTTCTATCTTAAGAAACAGTTGCTTATCAACCTTAAGAACTGAAAGGACGCAAATTTGTTTTAAAAAAATTGTGATTATACAAGGNAGAACTGAAAGGACGCAATTCTGTTTTAAAGAAATTGTGATTATACAAGACTCTTATTACTATTATTATTTCTAGAAATCCAGATCCATATTATTATTGCAGTTTTGTATCACTGTATGTGTATTTCAGTTTCTATTTTTAACATTCTTTTTTTAATTAAATTATTTGCATATAACAATATACTTAAGAGATTTAGATTTTATTACAGTAATTAGTTATTTAATCTGATATTATAGTTATATCATTTCAAGTAAAAGTTAGAGGTGTTTTCTTGTTTTATTTGATTTAAGAAAAGTATTGTCAATATCTTTGATACTCATGTTAAATTTTTTCTTTTAAGTGATGGTGGTGGTGAATATAAAGCTCAAGCCATTGATCATTTTTTTGGCAAGTTGTATTATTCGTCAGTTGTCTTGCCCCCACACTTCTCAATAAAATGGTGTGGCCCAACGCAAATACATACTTGTTATGGAAACTTGGTTAACTTTTTTATTCCATAGTCATGCTCCTCTTCATTTATGGGTTGAAGCTTTTTCTATAGTTGCCTATTTGATTAACCGACTTCCTACTCCTGTTTTGACAAATACAACTTCGTACATATCTTTATATGGCCAGGACCTCGATTACTCACTTTTTTTTTTTTTTGGAGGGAGACTTGAACCCTTGAACTCAAAAAGACAAAACCTAAACAAAATAAGGAATACTCACAGCTAAGACCCTTTGGATGCTTAAGTTATCCATTCTTTCTTAGGAATCAGTGAATTTCACAAGGGTAAGGGTTTCCGTTGCTTGGAATCCTCCTCAGGCAGAGTATATATTTCTCTGTCTTGTCGTATTCAATGAAATGATTTTCTCTTGTCGCTCTCGTGACGTCTTGCACATGCCACCTACTCTTCATGGTGAATATCTATGATATATCGATTTTCCTTGGGGATTTCTCCTGATGAGTTGCAACCAAGCTCTTCGTCTTTGACAAAGCTTCCTCCATCTTCTATTACTTCACTAGTAATTGCTGCATCGACCCCATTTAGCGGCCATCTTGGCCCATCAGGTTCAGGTTCTTCATCAGCAGATTCTAGTTCCCCACCTTCCTTCTTCTGGTTCGACATGTTTTCCCAAAGATGGTCACCTCGAAATTGTTCTTCCCATTCCTCCCTCTTTGATAAATCATAACAGCACAAATACTAGTGTTTCCACCCATCCAATGATAACCCGCAGTAAATCCCGTCACTCTCCTTACCCAATTTGCTCTTTGGTTTCTTCCACTTTGTCTTCTTCACATTCATGTCTTCTTGCTGCCATTGAAAATAATGCCGAGCTGACAAACCTTCACTCAACCTTGAAACTTCTTCACTGGCAAACTACCATGGAGAAGGAATTAGCGGTTCTCCACAGCAGTGGAACATGGAGTTTGGTTCCCCGAAATCTAGACAATTATGTTATTAACACTAAATGAGTCTACAAAACCAAGTTCTTATCTTCAGGTGATGTTGAATGATACAAAGCCCGATTGGGGGCCAAATGCTACTCCCAACTCCATGGCATCGATTTTGATGAAACCTTTACTTTGGTGGTAAAAGCTACTACTATTTTTATAGTTCTCGTTGTCACTCATATACACGGTAGGAAAATTCATCAATTAGACGCGAAAAATGCATTCTTGCATGGCTCTCTTCGTTTTGTGGATGCTCAATTTCCCCACCGGGTATGTCGACTTCACCACGCCCTTTAACGTTTGCGTCAAGCCCCAAGAGCTTGGTTTGATCGGTTTAATCATCATTTATATACTCTGGGATTTCATCAAAATGTTGGGGACAATTACATGTTCCCCCTTCACGATCATAATCACATCGTTGTTATTCTTCTTTACATCGATGATATGATCATCACCAACAAAGGTGAAACTCTTTGCATAGCACTATCACCCAGCTTGGCTTTGAGTTCTCTATGAAGGACCTTGGGTTGCTACACTATTTTTTCGGCATCGAGGCCTATTCGTTATCCCATGGACTGTTTCTCTCTCAAGTCAAGAATGCCCACGATTTGATTGCTTGTGCTTCGATGATAGATTGTAAATCCCTTGCTACCCCCCTGAATTGAATGTCCATCAGAAACTTTTTGCAGTTGGTATTCCCCTTGCCGATCCAACAGCCTTTAGGAGTATTATGAGTGCCTTGCAATATTGAACTGCATTTAGCGTAAACTCTGTTAGTCAACATATGCATTCGCCCATTCTTGCTCACCTAGGCGTTGTGAAATGTATTCTTCGCTATATTAAAGGGACATTCACTTATGCTCTTTTCCTTCATGCTAATAGTTCTATTGACTTAACGGGCTATAGCGATGCCGATTGGGCAGGGTGTCCAAACACTAGACGGTCTACTACTGGTTACGCCATTTTCCTTGGTACCAACTGTGTTTCTTGGAGTTCAAAGAAACAACCTACTATTGATCTTTTGAATGCTGAGGCGGAATGTCGTGCACTTGCCCATTTCACGGCTGACATGATTTAGATTACTTATCTTTTTCAAGATTTAAATGTCACCTTGAGTCCACTCCCTTAGTTATGTTGTGACAACAATAGTGCTGTTTCTATGGCTTCTAATCCAATTTTCCATGCTTGAACCAAACATATTGAACTCGACTACCATTTTGTTCATGAGAAAGTTGTTTCGGGGTCGCTGTTTGTTCGTTATGTTCTATCTACTGAACAACTTGCTGACATCTTCACAAAAAGTCTACCTAACCGTTTGTTCACTGATTTTGCATTCAAGCTGGGTGTGTCGGTTCCGTCGCCCTCACCTTGAGGGGGGGTGATAAGGATAAGAATCAAGAAGATCAACTCCAAGCTATGTGTGATTGCAATCTTCTAGAATAGTGTTTGGACCTAAAAATGCAAAATTATGAGAATGTTCGATGCACCAACACCTCGCGAATTGGGGGTCACGTGGAAAAAATTAAGAAAAGGTGAGAGATGGTCAAACACAATTTTATTTGAAAAAAAGGATAACTGCTTGGGAGTTTTTTTTTTATTTTTTTCGGTAAGTAAGATAATATCATAAAAGAAAAGTGAACATGTACATAAGTGAAACCAAAAGGGATGATTGATCTTCTTTAAACAAGAAAAAGATTACAAGTTAAATAACCGTCGAAAAATAGTGACTATAAAAAATAGAAAAAGAGGAAATTGAAGGATACATTTAAACCCTCACAAGACCCAAGATATAGGCGTTTTTAGGAGTAGTGTTAGGTTAGTTTTTAGTAAGTAGTTACTACAATAATTAAGGTTGTTAATTCAGTTTTTTTATAACTAAAAACCCTTCAATGGAATTAATAAAGGGATTCTTTTTTATTAATTCACGATTTTGTGTGCTTACTGTTTTAAATTCATCTAAAGAAGTCCTAAAACAAGGCAATTGAACCCATCACTAATAATCACCTAAAAACTGTGTATTGATTGAGTCTCCTCTGTTGATAACAATAGATGTTGGAGTGACAATATTTTGTCATGCCTAGTGAGACAACATTGTGAAGTTGGATCAAATAAAATTGTGTGAACAAGGAAGGCGGTCAACAAATGTGTGTCCTCAAACCTTGCTATATGTAGGCTATCAACAAATTAAATCATGGCCGATCTGAATCTAAATTCAATGTATAAATTTTGATCTGGAAATTGAATTAATTTTAATCATGCAATTTATATCTGAATTAAACATGATAAAAAGGCAAGCTTTTACAAATCTGCTCATATCTAATATCTTTTTTGTTTTGTTTTTTTATTCCAAAAGAAACTGGTGAAACACTCAATCCCTCACTTTGAAAGAATTTAACCACCGATTAGAATGTCTAAATATCTCAATTATGTTGAATTTTAGAAAATTATATGTAAAGTTCAAGTCAATTTCATCAAATAAATAGTTAATTTCGTCATGTGTGTATATAAAGAGACTTCAGATTGGGTCACAGTGTAATTGAATATTCATATATAAAAATTAAAATTCATGAAGAATGATATAACGAACTCAAAATTTATTTAAAAATATTAAAAAGGAGACTATTTTTCCCCCTTCTAGTGCTTTTTAAATATAACTAGTTATCAATTTGCCATAGGGACAAAATTTTGATCTCAACCTTTATTACAAATATGAAATGACCATCAGAGATGATTGAAAGCTCCAAACCATGTTCCCAATACTTAACGAGAAGACATACAATTCTAATTTTTTTGAGTAAGAAGCACTTGGTTGATCATTTTCTCCAGAATCACATAAGCTGCACCTGCAGTGGCCTCCGCAGCCTTTTTCTTCCAATCCAATGCATTATTCTTCATCTCTTTGCCTCTCTCTCCATTCATCAACTCTCTCACAAAGCTCTCAATTTTATTTCTCGTAGCATCATTTTCTATCTCCATGCCAATGCCCCATTGACTGCAGCAAAACCAACAATTGGTCTGTTGATCAGCAAAAAATGGCCAACAAATCATTGGCACTCCGGCACTTATGCTTTCAAGAGTTGAATTCCACCCACAGTGAGTTAAGAATCCTCCAATTGCCGGGTGGGCGAGAACTTTTTCTTGTGGGCACCACCTTGCTAACAGGCCTCTATCTTTTATCTCCTCCACAAATTCAGGTGGAAGAACAGCCAAATCACCAATAACAAGATCAGACCTTATTATCCACAAAAAGTTTTGATTGCTATTAGCTAGTCCCCAAGAAAATTCAATCATTTGGTTTGGTGTCATGACAGTGAAGCTTCCAAAATTCACATACACCACAGATTTATGTTCTTTCGTGTCAAGCCATTGAAGACACTCAGACTCTTCTTTCCAAAGATTTAATCCAAGCAACTTCAAGTCGTTATCTTGGATATGATTTTGGAGAATAGGCAATGGTCCGACTGAATAAATTGGAGGAAGAATAGATGAAAGAGCATCAATAACATCATGCTTTAGTTCATCGAATGAGTTCAAAATTATCGCAGAGGCCTTTTTAGCCTTTTCAAATTCACTTATAATAACTTTCAACATAAAATCATTTGGGTCTGTTGTTCTTATGAAACTTGGAAAATCCTTCAAACGTATACCTTTCATACTAGGTATCCAATCTATGATGGTTTCCAAATATCCATTTGTTAAGTAACTAGCATCTGCACATCAAGAAAATTAAAATGCCAATGTGAAAATAAAACTAGTGAAACAGTGTCTTCAAGATTTACTTTTGATTCACATTCAATGTAACAAAATTCATTTCAAACATGCATACATAAATGTAAGTATTTAAAGGGACATACATATGAGCCACGACAAAATGAGTAACAAAAAGAGACACACACCTACATAATTGTGTGATGTATATTATATACGCACATGATGAAGATTTCTTGGTGGTTGATTACCTTCCATCGTTTGGAAGCTATTCTCGATAGCGTTTTTTAAAATTAAAGTAAAACTCACTATTTATAAGTTATCCTTTGGGCATACGTGGTAGGAAGCCTACTATTAAGAAAAATTAAATAAAAGCCTACTATTAAGAAAAATTAAATAAAAGCGTAATGTAAATCAACACATTGTGGCATGAGAATTGGCACTTGCATGGGCCTCTTCTTCTTAAATGGTTGAAGATAATCATTAAACTTCCAAATCTGCCATCTACCACAAAGGTAGAAACCATTGTTAATGGTACTTGTTGGGAATGATCTTCTTCAGGTACTCCAGAGCTACTGCAAATTATCAATTCTATGTCGTCCTATAATCTCAACTCTCTGCATGCTGATAGAATTAAATGGCTCCTGAATCCTAGTGGTAATTATACATCTCATTCAGCATGGAAATCTTTTTATACCTCTAGTCCTAAGGTTCCTTGGCACATGCTTGTATGGTATCCTCAATACATCCCTAGGATGTCTTTTGTTCTCTTGATTTCTATTCATGGGAAGCTTGGAACGAAGGATCGAATCAAGACTTATGTGCAAAACATCAATATGACATGTGTCTTTTATAGACTAACAGTAGAAAGAATCAATCATTTGTTTTTTGAATACCCTTTCGCAAGTGAAATATAGAACATGGTGTTTAGTCATTCTATGGCCTCTTGGTTCCACCCCTGTTGGTTTACAGCTATCCACTTGGCCTCCACCCAGTGGAAAGGGAAATCCCTCAAATCCATTGTGCTCAAGCTCAGCCTTTCCAGTTCTGTCCATATGATTTGGTGAGAAAGAAATGTCAAAGTCTTCAAGAATGAATTCAAGGATGCAACTACGGTTTTGAAGTCCATCCTTCATGTTATTAGCAGTAAACTTCTGCCAACTTCAAACAATCCATCCGGAATATTACTTTTCTCCAGCATTGGAACAATTCTGTGTCTAATGCTCGCTACTCTAATCTTCCATCATGAATGCTATGAACTGCCATCAGTTCTATCACAAAGCAGAACTTATAGCAATTCAGGTGCTTGTCCCCTTCTTTTGTTTTTTGGTCTGTTTGATAAATAGATTGTTTCTTTACAAGTACATGTAATTTTACAATGATAAATATATTTTACTTTCCCGAAAAAATAAAAGCGTAATGTAAAGGATGTCGATGCATATGTTCATATGAAGTTGGTTAGAAGTTAATTAATACCTTTGAGTGGTGTATGACCCTCTTCGATGAGTTTCTGATATTGTAAGCAAGCCAGGAAGCTACAAGCACTGGCGGACCAGAAGAGAACTTCGGGGATGCCCAGTTCTTCGGCTGCTGCAAGTGTGAAGGTCATGATAGCATCAGAAATTATACATGTAACAGGAGGTACCCTTGACGACGAGGTTTCATTGAGTTTGAAAAGGAGGTCTCTGAATGGAGCCAAGCCGTGGTTAGTGATGGACTCACAAAGAGCGATGACGTCTTGGGTGGCATCAGGATCTGAATCATCTGATGGAGGAAGCCCATCGGGAATGGTTTCGAATCGGAACGATGACAGGCCGTTGAGTGAATCAGGACCTCCAGATTTCAGGAGGCGTCTGTGGTTGAACTCGGTGTTTACAAAGGTGATATGAAAGCCTTTGTGATGGAGGAGTTTTGCTAGCTTCAGCATGGGGTTTATGTGGCCTTGAGCTGGGTATGGTATGCAGACGGCATGAGGCTTCTCTGTCAAAGTAATGGAACCCATTCTCTCTCTCTCTCTCTCTCTCTCGGCAAGAAGTAGGTCCAGTTTTATAGCCCACGAAAGAGGTTTAAATGAATTGTTTACATCCAAATCAGATGGTCAGATACGGCTCTAATTTTAAAGTCATAAAATCGTAGGGTCCAAATCGCCACACTACCATAACCATGGACAATAAATTAGCAGGATGGACTAATAAAATGTAGACTAATGTTATTTACATTTAATTTATTAAACTAAAGATATAGTTTTATTATAACTATCGAGTTTTAATATTTTACGGGTTATCCTCAATTAAAGAGTTATAAAGAAATTAGATTAGTCTATTGGGTTTGGGAAACTTGAATTTTTTAGCAGTTTCCCAACTTGTTTATTTAAAGATGACCGGTGTATGTTATATGGACCATTATATTATGTCTCATTTTGGTTAAAATAATATAATTTGTTAATCTAATTTGGTGATTTAATATTTTCATTGTAGAAATTGAATTGAAAGTCAATTTAATGGAATGTTCACACTTATACTGTTAATCTAATGATCATAGTACAATAGATTCTCTAATTAAATCCTCAAATTAGATACCAAAAACATTGTTCATTTGGTGGTGACCCAACCTTTCATTCCCCATTAGTTTTGTGTTAAATCTAATCTTGTTGAAGCTTCTTTTATTTATTTATTTTTTGTCACTTAAAAATTCTGTCTCGTATTACAATTAATGTTGGAAATTCCTAAGATGACATGATGGTAAGACTTGAGTATACTATTTTGATGTCCTAAGTTTGACAGTTGTAATAAAATTTTAATTTAATCAAGGCTGAATTTCACTTTTCATTTTAAAATTTTGAAAATTTAAAAATTTTTACCTTGTACCTTTAAAGATTATTTTTTTTTCACATTGTACCCTAAATGCATTAAAAACATTATAAGGTGACCACTTTGTTAACTTTTGTTATTCAGTCTGTCAACATCAATAGAATGGTTTTTAACGAATGAAGCAACATAAACAAATAGAAAAGTCTTTTGGTGAAATTTTTAGTATATTAATAATATAATATGAAAAATTTAATCTTTAAGGATAAAAAACAAGAAATCTTGAATCTTTTAGAGTGTGAATTGCGATATGCACTTTAATCAATATGAGTATTATGAAATTCGCTTATATTTGATCCCACATAATTAACAGAAAACGAAAAATGGATAACAACTGATCTTTATCATTACGCGTGAAGAGCTAAACCACATAATCCCTAATTCAAAGGTATTTCAAATGGTAATAGGGATGAACTGTAAATTCAGATTTTCTGAGTTCGAATATTAGTAACTTTTTAGGACCAGATCGTGAGAAATTTATCTCTTATAAATACTTTAATTCTGACGTGGATAATTTGTCTTTAACCGAACAATAAATAAAATTAATCAAAATGTACATAAACAAATCCAGACACCCTTACTGTTAAACCAAAAAAAAATCACATAACCCTTACATTGTGAACAACTAAAACTTATTACATAATTCAATGAGTCAATATAAAAACATGTATTGTCTCCGGTGTACAAAACTAACGGCCACGATTTTGCAATCTCAAATGATTTATTATTAATTATTATTATTCTTTTTTTTCTAAATTGTCAAAAAAAACATTGAGGACCTAAACAATGGAATTTGACTCAAAATTAAAAGAGCTTATAGCGACAACAATGAATTTTAATCATTTACCCAATCCAAACCAAATATCACTAGTCCCGCTAGGTTATGAGTTTGACTCATTCTACTTAAATTACATTCGATCATGGACTTTCTCTAAATAATTATAACTTCTTCTTTATGAGTTTTAATTTGATCTTTAAAAGTTTTAACTTCAATATTAATCACAATCTATTATGATCGATCATGACTTTTAAAAATTGTACTTTACATNACATAATTCAATGAGTCAATATAAAAACATGTATTGTCTCCGGTGTACAAAACTAACGGCCACGATTTTGCAATCTTAAATGATTTATTATTAATTATTATTATTCTTTTTTTTCTAAATTGTCAAAAAAAACATTGAGGACCTAAACAATGGAATTTGACTCAAAATTAAAAGAGCTTATAGCGACAACAATGAATTTTAATCATTTACCCAATCCAAACCAAATATCACTAGTCCCGCTAGATTATGAGTTTGACTCATTCTACTTAAATTACATTCAATCATGGATTTTTTCTAAATAATTGTAACTTCCTCCTTATGAGTTTTAATTTGATCTTTAAAAATTTTAACTTCAATATTAATCACAATCTATTATGATCATGATTTTTAAAAATTGTACTTTACATTTTAAAATAATTATTATTTAATCCTGTACGATGATAAATTTCGGTACGGCAGTGAAGTAGGTACCGTAGCATTCCCCTACATTGCATAGTGAATTGTATTTAAATTACATTTGGGTCGTATGTGAAGACAAATGGAGTGACGTAACTGATTTGAATCTTCCCCCTTAAGCAATCAGAAACGAAAGGTCAAATTAGAAAAGTGATGATCGTAATTTTCTTTTTTACATTAAATATTAGAAAAGTGACCCGCTTGCTTATGGCTAGAACAAATAGATTTGATTGATTATAAAAAGATAACAATGATCAAAACTAAGATCGTAAATAAGGTTAAATGATATTATAACTGACTTGATGAGTAAATTTCGAGTCATTTATTCATAGTAGTTGATTATAAAAATGTATTATTATGAATCAAAATCACAAGAAAAATAATAACACAATAAAATAAAATAAAAATATAACATAAAAGATTTAAGTGGTTCGACTCAACAATCAAGTCTACGTCTACGAATCAAACACAACGACAATATAGAACAACATAAAATAGATAAGAATCACATGCATTATTCCAATATTATTGAAATTATTAGACCAACATAAAATAGAGCAAACCAAATAATTTTTGACAAATGGTAAAACTCGTGGACGTCATCGCCCCGCATGCCGCTGAAGACCGAAGCTTTATCAAGTCAAAAGTCTTTTTCCCCAATGTCCTTGACGCGTTGGAAAAAACTATGAGTTCTCCAATTTGTGGTAGACCGTAGAAACAAATATCCTTGCCAGCATAAACATCCTTGATAATGGAGAAAGGAACCTAGCTTTGAAAAGTCAAAAACCTATTTCCCCAAAGTCCTTCATGTGTTGGACAAGAAAACACGAGTTCTCCAATTTATGTATACATTACGGTTCATTTGATTGCTGGCATGAAAATGATG